GGAACCACAGCGGTAAAATCTGGGGGTGAAAGAGAGACCGGGGCAGAGAGAGAGAGAGAGACGGACAGACGGACACGGGGTGCGGTGCGGTGGGATGGGATGGACGAGGAGAGAGGACGATGGGGTAGACAGAGGGATGGAGGGATGGACAAGTAGGGAGAAGGGATGGATGGATGGATGGAGAAGGAAGATGGGGAGGGATGGAGGGGGGAATAGAGGAACAGATAGGGAGAAGGAAGATGGATGGATGGATGGACAGATGGATAAGGAAAAGGAAATGGTGGACAGGTGGATGGGTGGGGCCAAGCAGATGGGAGAAAAGGAGGGAGTGATGGATTGATGGGAGATGGAGGGATTGATGGCCAAGAAGGGGCAGGGAGAAGGGGACGGGGGAGCGTTGGAGGGAGGTGGACAGAAGGTCAGGAGAAGGCCAGCCCAGTGGAGAGGGGACAGAGGGACATTGAGGACAGGGCAGGAGAGTCAAAGGGCAGGAGGGGGGTCCCAGGGAGATTGGAGGGGGGACAGGGAGAGGGGAGCATTGGGGACATGGATGGGGCACCCCAGTGGGGCAGGACAGGGAACAGGGGGACAGAGAGAAGTGTTCAAAGAGATGCCCCGGCACGGGGAGAGAAGCAGTGGGGTGATCCCGAGGACAGAATGTCCCTGTCACCCAGGGGGGCCACGCTTTGTCCATGGTCCAACTGGGATCCCACTCATGTCCCTGCCCTGCTGTGACCCCTGTATCTCAACCCAGCGCAAGGGGTGGCTCTGGACCATGACCCCATGTCCCTGCCACCCTGTACACCTCCCTGTGCCTCTCCCCATGTCCCCACATTCCTGTCACCCTGTGCACACCCCTATGCCCAACCTGTGTGTCCTGGACGTGTCCCCATGTGTCTGACACTCTCTGCATGCCCCTGTCCCCTGTATGTGTCCCCCTGCCCATACACATCCCTGTGTCCCCAAGTACACGTTGTCCCCAAGCCCAGTTTGTCCCCCCCTAAGATAGGAGGACACTGAGGGTGGGTGGGGACCCACAGGCAGCTCTG